CCCTGGCTGTGACGTGGGCTGGGAGGTTCCCTACCAAGGATCATACCCTGAGCTGGGTGCACAGCCCTCTTTTAGGAGGAGGGTTGCCGGTCAGGCACGCTGATCTGCCCCTGAAGGCACACACTCCTCAGTAGGCTCTTTTGCAGATCTCTCCTCCGTGCCCCAGGGCAGTGCGATCGTGACCTGGGTGTACGGGATCTGGTCTGCAGGTCTGACCCCTGGGCCCTGGAGATCAATCCCTGACCCTTCCAGGGGGAGAGGTGCTGTTCTTGAATCACCTACAGGGCGCCCAAGCTGGATCGATTTCACTCCACCTCGGGATTTGCCTCCCTCTCCTGGAGTCCCCAGGCAAGTAGCACCTGAGAGGGCTGGCGAGTAGGGAACTCGCAGTCTGAGTACCCCTCAGTCTGCTGTAGGGCCCCAAAAGGAAAGGTCCCGTTCCTTGGAGATGCCTCCATGTGACAGCTAAATTGTCTCTCTGGGCACACACGGGTAGGGAGAGGGAAGGAGAGAATGGGGCACTATGGCGTCTGCCTCTAGGCTCGGGTCTGCGCCCGGGGAGGTGCCCCGAGGGTGCTGGGAGCCCGGTGCTGAGTCCGCAAGAGGCCACTGCTCACTGACAGCAGCCGTCTCTGGGCTGGTGTCGGCAGGTCTCTCCAGCCGCTCAGGAGCCACCAGCAGTGCGAGATGCAAGGGAGGGGGAAGTTAACCGCTCCACCTACCCTTGTCGCTGGTCTCCAAGCCTCTCGGGACCTTTCTCCTTCCAGTTCTCCTCCGCAACAACTTCCCGTGGAGTCTCCTGTAGTTTCAGGCACCCTTCCTTCTGACCCTCACCCGACCTATGTTTCTCTGCTCGCTTATTTTTTCTCTTTCTTCTAAAATTCGTCTTTTTTGCAGAGACACTCTGACTGGCGGCTTGTCTCATCTGCCATCTTGGCTCCTCCCTCAACAAGTAAAAATTTTATGGCGTACAATATGTACATGTGGAATGGCTAAATCAAGCTATTTAAATATGCGTTACCTCATATACTTTTTGTGGTGATAACACTGGAAAATTGCTAGGAGAGCAGATTTTAAGTATATAATATATTGTTATTAACTGTAATCACCATGATGTACAGTAGATCTCCTGAACTTATTCCTCCTATCTAACTAAAATTTCGTATCCTTTGACCAACATCTCTAATCCCCCTCATCTCCCAGCCTCTGGTAACTACTATTGCACTCTGTTTCTATGAATTTGAATTTTTTACACTCCACACAGCAGTGAGATCATGCAGTATTTGTCTTTCTCTTTCTGGTTTCACTTAACATAATGTCCTCCAAGTTCATCCACAATATCACAAAGGACAGGATTTCCTTATATTATTTCATTTTGTATATATGCCACATTTTCTTTATCCATTCATTCATTGACTGATACCTAGGTTGATTCTATATCTTTTCTGAATAATGCTGCAACAAACATGGAAGTGGAGATATCACTTCAACATAGTACTGATTTAATATCCTTTGGATGTATACCAGGAAATGGAATTGCTGGCTCTTATAGTAGTTCCATTTTTAACTTTTTGAGGAACCTCTATACTGTTTTCC